ACAGTAGATCTGTACTGCTTCCTCATAACAACCGTCCCCATGGCAACCCTTCTCTGTTGGCTCTGTTTTGAACACACACTCGCTCTCGCTGTCTGTTATTCCCCCTGTCTCTCCATCTGTATATCTTGAATAAATGGCTAGACCTCCTTGCTCTAACACACTTTCTGTTGTATGTGCACTCACACACACACATACAGTTTGTCATACTAAATGTCCTCTCTTTGTTACATCTTTTAACATCTGCTTGTGTTTCTAAACATATAGTTTTCCTAACAGGAACAGCGTGACAGTAAATATCTGTGCTGTTCTGAGTGGGAGTTGATCTTTTCTATTTTTATTTTATTTTTTATCCTCCTGCTCGATTGTTTACTAGCTAACAAAGCCTACAGACAGCTGTTTGTTTAGGTTACCTCGGCTGACTCTCCTCAAATTACAACTCATAGTGTTTTGGACAGGAGACAGACAAATAACTCTCACAGTAACAAGTTTGAAAACAAGTTTACCCCACCTGACCTCTCATGTTGTTTCTTAACATTGCTGAACCTACATGCACCCATAAAATATACAGTAGTTATATATAATGTATTTCTTCCCTTCTTGCCCACTTGTCGTATATACACACCAATATTTCACTGCTGATTTTTCATGATTGCTGCTGAGTTGCACAAAAGACCCTACTCTAAATACATTACACTAAATATTTACCCTGCATCTCAAATATCCATTGAAATATTATATGTTCTTTTAAATAACACAGTTATATGGAAAATTATCAAATATATTGTACTGAATAGCCAAAGAAAGAAAATAAATCCTACAAAGGTTTATTAAAAGCCTCTATTTTTCTCATCTGTTTTTATCTTCGAAATAATATTTTATCAATATTAAGTGGTAAAGCACGAGGTCTTGACTGGGCACACAACAATCTTAGCTTCTAGACAAATGACATACAGCATAATTCTGAGTAGTCTATTCATATTTTATCATCCTAAATGTACATTTTTGGTTTAGTCCATTTTATAATTATAATCAGTTCTTTAGAATATGCCTTGCTGGACCCACAGTTGTAGAACAGTGCCTTTTGACCAACATCCAGTAATTAGTTTATTAATATCTTGTCAACCTGCTTATTTCCATATCAAATAACCTACACATAGCTTCAGTGAACCTCACCTGGTAGAGGTTCTAATCCTTTATCGCTTGTATGTGTGTGACGTAAATGCAGACCCTGTGCGACAATATTTTCATCAAAGTGAGTGTGTGAGTAGTATTAAGGCTGGGGCGGGGCGAATCAATACACTTAAGTGTTGTGATGCTTTTTGATTCCTGAATCGATATAATTTAAATTCAATTGCTTCATTTTAGTCTGTGCTTATTAGATGAGGCGTAAGGTAGTTATTGCTTTTATCCAGCAGATGTTGAAATGCATTTGTTCTAATCTATGACTGGTACGTGACATCACATCTGGCCACGAGAAAGCACAAAATGATGTGCACCCTCACGTTTTAAATCCATAGTATGAAAACACTTCCAGGAAATGAATCTGTATGCAAATTCTGTCATGGACTGGTATCGTATTGTAGTAATACTAAAACTAAACTAAAACTGGCAGACATGTAATTTGCATTGTTTTTGGAAATATGACTTGATGATGATATACAGTCTCTATTGTTTGCACTAGACCATGGGAAAATGTTCAATTATATACTACTAATTAGTCATTTCAAATCTCAATATATATTGAATCGGCGCCCAAGTATCAGGATAGAATGGAATCTGGAGGATTAGCATATCGTCCCAGCCTTATACGTGCTCACAGATAAAATATCAACCCTCTTGCAGCAGTCCACGTGCCCCGTCAGTTGTCCAAGAGCCAATTGGATTTGAACTCTCAGTCTGCTCGTACCGGTCTCAACAGCTCTGGCAGTATTTTTTTGTCCTTGCCTCAGTGCAGCGAGAGTTAATCTGCTACTAGGCTGCTTAACACGCACAAAGAGAAAACGCACAGTAACCTGCTTCCTCAGTATGCTGCACCAGTGCAACAGTTTTAATCTCTGTGTAGGGAGCCATGTGGAGTTTTTACTCTCTGGTAGTGTTTTCTCTGCTTTGACAATAGACCGGTCATGTGCTATGATACTGTACAGTTGAAACATTTAGAATATACACAAGGCTAGCTAGCCTTACTCACAATGAAAGAGATGTGATTTGTAATAACAGCAGATGTGGTATATACGCCTTATCTGTGTCTCATTTGTTTGAGGGGGGAAATGGTGTTTCATATGTGGATCATCAGTAAATAGATGCTGAAAGGTCCGGGCTCTGCTGAAGCTTTTATCAGTGAGAAAGTGTCTGATAAGCAGTCAGATCCACACTCAGACAGCCTGGCAGAGAAAGACAGCTGCTGTGTCTTTGGACCAGATCCTCTTCCCTGTGGGTCGATACGTCTGCGTCTCTGACTCTGTCCAAGGTCCCCTACGAAGAAAGACACACACGCTTGCCGACACTTGCCTTGTGTGTTGTGTTATTTTGTGAGTGGAGGAGTGTGAGGTGGGCAGTTGTGAGACGCTAACATGGTGTTTGAAGTTGGCCAGCCCATATCCTCTCTGTTTTAATCTACTGTTAAATAAGAAGAAATAGATATAAGTGAAATGTATAGTCTGTTAGATAACTGGTGTATATTTATACCTGCTCATCTGTGTATGAGTTTAGAGATGAGTAAGCCAGATGCAAAGGTCTCAGTGGGCAACCTGAAAGGTCATGTGTAAGCATTTTTGTTTCCTGGGCAGCAAGCTATGAGGCATGAGGCCTCGTCTGTTGTTTTGAGTCACACAGACCCTTAACTGATCACAAGGGTGTTTTTTTGAATATACTTTTTGGGCCTTTTTGCCTTTTATCGAAAAGGACAGCTGAAGATAACAGGAAAGGAAGAGAGAGAGGGCATGACACGCAGCAAAGGGCTACAAGTTGAATTCAAACCCATGGCCGCCGCAGCAAGGAATCAGCCTCGGTACATTGGGCACCGGCTCTACCAGGTGAGCTATCAGGGCGCCCCCGACTGATCACCACGTTTAACAAGTCCAACCAGTAGCTTCCACTGCCAAGAACAGGAAGGATCACAGAGGTCACTTCAGCATTCCAGGGTGTCCCTTTACTGCAGGAAACTGCCTCAGAGACATGAGCCAGCGTTTCCTGTCAGAGCGCACACACTCACCTTTCATAACAGCGTGCCACTCTGAGAGCTTCTCTAACTCAGCTCAGCCCCTGCTTCAGATTGTACGTTCGCAGGGCTAACCTGCAAGCCGCAGCACTTTTAGGGGGCAAAGTGGTCTGATTACACCCCCCAAGAGAGGACTGGTGTTCCTGTCAGCCTGTTGTTTTTCTGAAGGTTGCGTGTCACAGTCTGAACATCCTGGGTGATGGAGCCAAGGGTAGATTAGATACCACGGGTCAGCCCGAGTTCTGCTGGTCACTAAGGGGAGTGTTGTTTTCCATCTTTTCTGTTTTCAGCCTGTTAACATTCTTCTTCCAGTATTCATGTGTGACTGCAGCTGCTATTCCCCATAGTTGATTCATAGAGCCTATGACTCCCAATTCCAGAAAATTCTGCCCCCTTGAATAAACAACCTAGCATTTGACCCAAATCTGCTATCTGAACACTGTTGCAAAGAAAAAGTTGAAACAAAGGAGAGAATTTAAGGGCATAATGACATTTAATCAATAAACGTAAACTCATATTCTGTCATGTCAGTTGTACTTGAATCACAAGTAAGTTCCATTTTATATAATCCTAATCCTGGGAGTTGCTGAGCCGTTTCTTCCATTGTTGAGGCCCGGTGATTTAGGGATATTTTGTCATGTAGGAGCCTGCCCTGTTAGCCTCTCAGCCCAGGCTCTTATTTTTAGATGACAAGCCTCCTGGCTGAACATGGCCCCACCTCTGTTTCCCTATGGGATGCAGCAGGTTGTTGTTTTCCTGGTCGCAAATGGACGGGGACATAGAGGAGGAAGCAGGCTGTGGAGCAGTGTACGAGAAGCTGTGTTAGCGAGGATGAGGATGATGATGAAGGCATACTACGTCGGAGCAGCCAATCCTGTTTTTCACATGGCCTGTTAGCCTCAAGGTGCTAGGTTCAGTGTTGTTTTTGGCACACGCGTGCATTGTGTATGCCTGGGCTGCGCCACTAAAGGAACTCCTGGCTACAGAACAATAACAGCGCTGGTACACAGGAGGGTCGGCGCAGGTTAGAGCACAGGGGATATATTAAGGCCAAAGTGACTTTGTGTGTGTTTTTGCTTGTATATGTGTGTCCACAAAGCAAGATTAGCTCTCAGTCAGACCAAGTTTGTCTAGACTGCTAAATCAGATTGGACACCATATTACAGTTGAAACAGGAAGTGGGTGTAAACAAAGGACTGTAATGTCATCATCTGGACCCTCTGGGGAAGCAAAGAGTGCCTGGGATTCCCCTAAATTTCCCTTCAGTTATACAAAACAGTTTGCATCCTTTAGAGCAATATCCACTCCTAAACACTGCTCAAAACTGCCTTTTGAGGTGTATCCCATAATGAACATTGCTGAAATAATACTGTTTGTTGGTGTATGCACATTTTTCTTGAAGATAACTGTCCAGTGTAGACAGCATAACATGATTGTTCTGCTACAGCAGTATTAGAGTTTGATGAACCAGGTTTCTGTGTCATTCTCTTGTAATAAAAGACCAAAAAAACCTCTTTACAGCCTCACTATTTCACAGTGAAAATCAACAGTTATACTGGGAGAAATCCAATACACATGAGATACCAATTTCTCCACTGATAGGAGTCTCAATAAAACAGAATGTGGTGCAGCTACTCCTCCAGCAAACAGTGAAATGAAACTTTAGAAACCCTTAATACAGACTTTATTTTCAGTCCTATGTATATATTAATATATATTTTTATATTTCTGTCTTCCTATCTTGGACGTGCATTAATCATTCTCTTTCCCTCCATATTCTTAGATGTGTACCCCAGCCAACACACCAGCGACGCCCCCCAACTTCCCGGACGCGTTGACCATGTTCTCCAGGCTGAAGGCGTCCGAGAGCTTCAACAGCGGCAGCGGCGGCAGTCCCATGGCCGCCTCCATGGCCACCTCACCCCCGCCCCCCCAGGTTGGCGGCTGGGGCGTCTCACCAAACGTACCTAATGTGCCGCAACCTCCACAGGGACTCTGGACTCAGGGGCAACCCCCAACGCAGCCCTGCCCCGCCTGGCCCACGGGCGTGAACCCCCACGTGGGCGCCGAGCAGAAGGCTAGTGTAGCGATGGAGGCTGAGAGATGAAGGGCAGCACAGGACTGAAAAGCCCCCCTTTCACCTCGGGGAGGGAGGGAAACGGAGGGGATTTGGGTGGTGGTTGGGGTGGGGGGGGGATAAATACGGGGAGGGTAGGAGGGCATAATGGGTAGAAATGGGTTTGGTCTTTTTTTCCCCTAAAAGGATATGGAAAGAGACAGAAACTACGCAAACCAAGAAAAACTCAACATGGACAATTTAAGAAGAGGAGAAAACCAATGCAAATATCAATAATAAAAAAAATTGAAAAAAAAAGATACGCACACACATAGTAATAAGAGAGCAACTGAAATCTTTGTTAGTTTTTCCTAAGTAAATGCATAGATAAGAGAAATATTATTGAACTAAAGAACGAGAAATTTTTAAAAAATTGTCACGCCCAAGGATTCTATGTGATGTTCAAGGACATTCAAGGCAGCAAACTTAATTTTCTGTTGTTTTTTTTTTTTTTTTTTGTTTCGTCTTTTTTTTTCCTTCTTCTCTCTCCATCGTTTCAGCCAGTGTTTTTTTTGCTACTGGCGTCCTGTGTTTCTGCAACTGTCTGTGCTGCATGAGGAGAGAGGGACTTGCAAATGCAGTGTTTGAGATTGACTCAAAAATCAACACGCACTTGAGTGTGAGTGTGTGCGCATGTGAGCGGGTGGTCAGTTTGTAATCAAAAATGTATACACACACACACACACACACACACACATATATATATATATTCACACACAAACACACAAGTACACACACATTAGAGTTTAGAGGAAAACACCTCCATATTGTCATCCCCATCGTCAAAGGTGGGACTTTTCTTACCTCACCTGGTGGTCACCTGACTTCTTTCAGCCAATCAGGGATTCTTCTTAAACCAACCGTTGCCGCCACCGCAGGACATGTTTTTAAAGGTTTTTTCTTAAAGGCAGCAGCCACTCTGGTTTATGCTAACTGATCCTTGCTGCAATGGCTTTTTCCTGACAGTTTTAAACCTGGACTCAGACTACAACTGTCCACTGTATACTTTTTCTGGAGATTTGGGTTATTACAAGAAAAATGAGAAATCATGGTTTAATATAATATCGTTTATAAATGCTAATTGTTCTGTTTTTGTTGAAAGGTTAAGGGAGGTGGCTTTGAAAATGGGTGGGACTTCAGGTTGATCTTTTTCTTTGTTTTGTTTTGGAAAGAGTGAATCAAACGCAGCTAAAATGGCTACAGATTTAAAAAAAACAAAAAAAACACGACTACTCCATCTTTGTAAACTGAATTGCCACTTTGCATGATGTGTTCATAATGTGTAACATCTTTTGTAGCAAACATACATGAGGTCGAGACATGTTTATGGGAGGGGTTGGAGTTAAAGATGGGGGTGGGGTGGTGGGTCTCATTCCCAAGGCTAATAGAAATGTAAGAGATGAGCGTTTCTCTACAAAGCTAGAGTCAGATCAGCAGTGTCACACTGTACATCTTGTTATATATGAGAAACAAAGAGAAGAGAATGGGTGTTGGGCAGCTTCGGGAAGCCCACCACAGGCTATTTGGGGACACTACAGACTACTTTCAGATTAACATTATATATATACCCTCAGATACTGTACTGGGGGGGGGGTTTACAACATTTAGGTCTCTAGTTTCGACCGGTCCCTGGTCCATTGATACTGCTGGGGGACAGTTCAGGGATGACCCTGATATACGGCAATATTTTAAATGCAGGGTCTGCCCCTTTTTTAGTTTGTCCTGTTTGGATTCTTTTTTCATTCAGGAAGAGAGAGTAAGAAGAGATATTTTGAATAGCTGAGGGTGTTTTTTTAAAAGATGATTGGAAAATTATGGATATAATAATGAATAAATAAGAAACTTCCTTTTTATCATTTAGACTAAACTAATGTTTGAGTTCATCCTTTTCCATGCTTCATACTTTATTTGGTTAAATCAGAGCGTTTCTGGGTGGGCCTGTTCCTAAATGGTTTCTCATGTATGTTTCCCCACTTGTTTGACTGTATGAGACCATTCCCACAATATTTGTGGACTACCTGATAATTAACTTATCATTTTTGTGAACCTAAATAAATATTGTATGTCAACCTAATCAGCATGGTTTACTGTAGTGTGTGTGTGTGTGTACACTGTTTTTTATAGTAAAGGGTCTACATGAATTGTCCTTTTGCCTCCCAATCAAGACGTATAGTTGTGTGTGAACTATAAACACAGATCAGTGTGTTAAATAATGACAGCGAGAAGATGGATGCTTCATAATGTCATGCTTGGCTACCTCTCAGCGAGGGCGGATTTAATACAGTCACTACAGACTACAAAGTCCCAAACCTCTCTGCTTTCTCTGTCTGTCTCTCTCTGTCTGTGTGTCTGAGAACTTAGAAATCTGTCTGATGTTTGGGAGCGAGAAGGGCCAGAGATGAAAGCCAAAATGGAGGAGAAGAGAGAAAAGCTTTTGAAAGAGGGAGTTCAGCTCCGCGGCCACCGCTATCTTCGCCTCCCCGAATCCACGGCTCTTTAGATGTAAACACAAACACCAGCTGTCCACACACACGCAATCGCCATACATAAACACCCACCACACACACATCACACATCACACATGCCAGTGGTGTGGTGGTGGTGGTAAAGGAAAGGGTGGGGGGAGGTCACAGAGTTCTCCATGTCCTCAGATCACCTCCTTGCTCCTTCCTCCTCTGCAGGAAATAAAAGAGATTGCCTCTGCTGATTGTGTGTGCCACTTTGCCAAATGTTGAGCTGCTGAGAGCGTGTCAGTCAGGTCGGGTGAATTACTGACAACTTGGCGTCGGGAGCCGCAGTGCCATCTGAGCATGTGGGAACAGGAATAGCAATAAACACACAGGGTTCGTCCAGCAGCAGCACAGCATGACCCAGTAAGATATGAAGGCAGTAAACAGGGTCTCTGGGCCACCGTTGCTTTATTCCAACTTATTCCTGTCCACGATGAACTCACTGAAGAGCTTTAAATCGACAATTTGAGTGGTTTGCTTTTTTATTTTGAGGACATCTTCAGCTCAGGGTTTTCCCAGAAACACACATCTTTGTACTGTTATTTTGGTTATTGTGTAATTGCTAGTGCTAAGTACCCAATCCTTCTATTTACTCCCAACAAACTGCTGATGTACAGAAAACATAAATCATAATCTCACCTCAACACTTTGCTGGGAAGAGCCCACGAAACATCAGTCCATCTGCAGGCATTTGAATCAGATTACATGACAGAACCCACTTGTATTAAAAGAAGAAGAGAAAAAGCAGCATTTGTCATTAATGTGCAAACTGTTATGTTATATACTGTTAGCATAGAGTGCCGTGCTCTGTTCGGTTTATCTATCCTTCACACAAAAAACCAGGACATTGCTTTCTGGGTCACTAGATGGTGTGGACACAACACAGCCTCACAGATGGCACACCATCAGTACACCTGTCTCCCTTCATGTGTAAACATTACTATATTAGCTACTGCAGGGCACTCTGTTTACCGCCACTAAATTAGTTTGACCCTAATTTTTATGTTAACTGTATTTTTTGTAAACAAAAGAGAGCACACATGACGAGATTTCCAGCTTCTTTAGGCCTCTGTTATTCAGTTCATTTTCAACTACCAAATGAAATTCCTTAAAATCAGCTCAAGTAATAATATACATTGACGAAGCAGAAAATGTTTTTTTTATTTCACTTAAAGGTACCCTGTGGAGTTTTGTCCACTAGTAGCGCTGGTGGGTCCTCCTTTTTCTTTGTAGTGCGAGGATGCCGCCAAGTATGGATGTAAACAATGTAGAATACACAATACGCACAATACAATGCGCAAAGGATACAAATAATGTGTTTTGTAATAAAATACTGAACATAAATAGAACTTCTTTTGTTTACAGGATGCCTTTAACTTTCCAAAATGACAGTCCAGCTTCAGTTTGACATTCATGAACTTTTTCTGAATGCACAACCGATGGCTATCATCTGCTCTTTTTTCCATTTCCTTCTCTTATCTCTTATTGATAAGAGAGTAGGTTTAATCCTGTAAAAGTAGCTACTTAAGCTTGAACCTCAATCAATAGAACTGAAACATTTTCATTGATTACAAACTTATCTTCTCATTTTAAGGCTCAAGTAAAGCACAAAGAAAGCATGGTAGACCTGTGAGCTCAAAAGAAGCTTGCGTGGCTCATGAAATGTAATTTTTATCTTTCTATAAATGATGAGTTGATCAAATTTGTCTATCCAGTGCAGAATATGGACAGCCCCAGTATGGGGTGCCTGGTTAGCTCAGTTGGTAGAGCTGGTGACCCATGTACAGAGTTGCTGCAGTGGCCCAGGTTCAACTCCAACCTTGTACCCTTTTGCTGTGTGTCATCACCCTTCTCTCCACCTACCTTTCCTGTCTATCTACAGCTGTCTCTACCAATAAAGCCAAAAAAATAACTTCAAAAGAAAACCCCAGTATGATATTTCAGCTTTTTAGACCACTGGATGAAAGAGGAAGAGAAAATACAACGTTTAGCTGAGGCTTTAGGGAACAGAAGCTCTCTTAAAGGGCCCGTAGACATGTTAGCACTGTAGAAGCCATAAGAGCCTGCCAGTCTAAATGGATGCCTGTTTGAAATTTTCATTGATTAAAAGACTGGGCTTGCATTATGTAAAAATGTTGAGACCGGCGCTGTAGAAAATGGACGTGGTGCTTGTTAGGTATGCAGGTGGGGAGGGGGGAGACAGAGGACACTGTGCACTGTGTGGAGGTGGGCATGGGAGCAGAACGGACAGAGTGACATTGGGTGCGTTTGTAACCTAGCACCTCACCTTCCCCTGTTCTCTCTACAGGTGGAGGCTCCAGCTCGGCACTGGACAAGCTGCAGCTAGCAGCAGGAAGTAGGAGAAAGGTGACACACACACACACACACACACACACACACACTGTACGTACATATACAAAGCGTCTGGCAGACATTAGGTGGAGAGAGAGTATGAGTCAGACTGAGAAAAGTTAAGTGAGGAAGGAAACAATAGCAAGACATAATGACAGGGTGTGCAGTAACAAGGCAACCAAAAATGAGGTTTCATATCCTGGAAAACATAGTTACCTGAAATTTATATCAGCCCAAATGTAACTAAAAACAAATGAATACTTTTTTTTTTTAACTTTACCTGCCAGTCAAAGGCGTGTGGACATGACCTGAGACAAAAACTAGTATCATTGAGAGAATGATGCATCATGTCTGGTCTGAGGAAGCCGAACTTCTTGAAGACGCCACATCAGTCTGTCTCAAGCTGTGTGTTCTCTGTTCTTGGATTGTCGTTTGTTCTCTCCGAGACAAACAGAAGACGCTATCCACCGAGGCATTATTGGATTTAAAAGCCATTACGGAAAGTTATTGTAGCCTACATGACTAGGTATGGCATTCAATTCCCTCATTCGTTTGCGTATTTGTGCTTTACACCTCTCTCAGGGTTGACTAACAACAGAATAAAGTTTTACCAGTGGCAGATATTTAATTCTCAAACTCTGTGTTTGGTTTGACTGCAATGTAGTGGATTACAACAATATGTACAGCCCAGCGTAATGCTTAAAGAGGCTACTGTAGCATTTAAACACTGAGATATATGAAGATACTCATGATGTGTCATGAACATTATTTCAGTTCCAATAAGACTGTCAGAGATGGGAGCTAAAATTCAACCAAATGTCCAAGTTAGCTTGTTTTGCTAGCTTTCATAGCTCTTTCTGTAAAGGTGGAATGTGATACTGATGTTAAATGTTAAATAATGAATCATGTATTATTTCTATTTAAGAAAAATACATTTTTAACAAAGGGGGGGGATTTGTTTCAGGCTTTAGTGTGTTTCTGTTTAGGTGGTCTAAAGATCAGTTCAAACTAAATACAAAGGGCGCTGTGCTTCCAGTGAGAATGAGTTTAAAGCTGCATTATCGTACAAGCCTGCACATTTCCTGTGAACTCACCTCCAGTGGAACACAGTGCAAAAGAAGCCATTAGGGCCCACCAGTCAGCCAGGATGGATGATCCTGTTTGTTTACAGTAATTACATCAATGTCTCAAAATAATATGGCAACAATTCACTGATTAAACAGAGTCACAACTGCACTTTAATATCTGTGGTTTCAGCCAGAGCTGTTGTCACCGTCTCTCTCTCTCTCTCCCTCTCCCCTTTCCCTGTGTGTGTGTGTGTGTGTGTGTCTGTGTGTATGGCCGCAGTGAACCTGTGACAATGGCTGTGTGCCATTTCAGCCACTCTGTGGCCGAGATCCTGAGTTGGACACAAAGCCGGCTTTATCTCTGCTCTCACTGTTGTATCAGTGCTGCCTGGCTGGACGCATTAGCACCGGACTTAGCAGCCACACACACACACACACACACACACACACACACACACACAGCAGTACTAACAATACATCACACTTAGACTGTAAGCAGGGGAAGTTGTGTGTGTGTGTGTGTGTGTGTGTGTGTGTGTTAGTGCGTGTGTGTGCATACATGACTGTGGGACCATAAAGAGACCACTGACCACTGGGGGAAGTGACAGAGACAGACACATGCTGTTTCTGTTCCCATGTCATGTGGTGCTGTTGGGAAGAAAGTCATATAAGCAACATGATATGGTCTGTGTGTGTGTGTGTGTGTGTGTGTGTGTGTGTGTGTGTGTGTTTTTTTTATTATATGTAAGTCAGTGTATTAGGTGTGTGTCAGACTGGCCTTCTGAAAACACGATGCATCAAAGTTTCCCTTTATGTTTCTTTCTCTCTTTTTCACTTCCCTATATCTTTATCCTTAATATCAACCCCCCCTCCTCCTTCTTCCTCCTTTGTGTGTTTCACAGACACACCTCTATGCACATGATCTCTCTCTCTCTCTCTCTCTCTCTCTCTCTCTCTCTCTCTCTGTCTGTCTGTCTGTCTGTCTCCAACTCACTTCACAGAGAGACGCAGAGCTTGGAATGTGGAGAAAGACATTTTCAAAAGACAGAGGGGAGGCACGAGCCATAAAACACGTTTACAGGTGAATTAGCAGGTTGTTACACTGCGGGACATCACAGCCGCAGACATTCGCACAGGAACTGGCC